GAACAGCCCAATTCCTGCAGCTATCCTATGCCTGCCTTCACTATTGTGACAGAAATTCATTGTTTCTTTGCTTCCCCTAACTCATCCTTCCTTTAAATATTTTCTCTCAGGAAAAGGCCTTGGACTTGAACTGAAACATCAGCTCTTCCTGAGTCTTGAATGGAATGTCTTCAGGTGGGAACTGCACCACTGGCTCTCCTGGGTCTCTGGTGTGCTGACTGGAACTTGCGACTATTAACTCCATAATCAGATGGGCCAATTCCTTATAATAAATCATGTGAGCCAATTTTTTATAATACATAAATATCCTTTATAATAAAGAAATCTCTTCATATATGTGTGTGTACACAAACACACACACACATTCTGTGTCTGAAATTTCCAAAATCTGTGTCATATCTGAGTGGCTCTAATATTTGCTTTGTGTCTTCAGACTGTGTATTTTTCCTGCCTATTACTAGGCCTTGTAATGTTGAAAGCTGGATGTGATTCAACAGATATTAGGAACTAAAGTCAATAGGCCTGTAGAATTTTGTCTCACCTATTGTCTGTGGGGTTCCCTAAGGACCCCCTTTTGTAAAGCTTTGAATACTTTATTACATTTTTTTTCAGTTACAGTTGACATTCAATATTATATTAGTTTCAGGTGTACAGCATAGTGGTTAAACACCTGTATACCTTAGGATGTGATCCAGTACCCACCTGGCACCATACATAGTTATTATATTATTGACTATATTTCCTATGCTGTGCTTTTCATCCCTGTGACTGCTTTGTAACTGCCAATTTGTACTTCTTAAAGGACTCCTTCTTAAATAGAGCCTGTCCCTCATAGTTCCTGCAGCTTCAGTTTACTGTTGCCATCCCAGAGCCCTGTCAATGTGGTGGTCAGGTGTGAGGGAGGGGTAGTGTGGTCTTGGAGTTAAATCACACCCTCTTAGTGGGTCTGTGTCCTGGGGCTGTGATCATCAGTTTGTTGTTTTTTTCGGTTTCCCTTCCCCTTACCCCTTTTATGTGACACGGCTAAATATGATTACTTCCTGGATTGTTCTCCTCATTTCATTACAGGGTTTTTTCTCCTCTATGCTCTGGTCTTGAAGGACCCCCTTCAGTTATTTGAATGCTTCATCTCGTCTTTTTGCTCTGGAACAGCTGTGAAAAGATGGAACCAAAATGTTCCTCAGGGAGTGTATTCTATCATAAAAATATTCTGATAAAGATTTTGAAGGTTTAATGAAGTTTGGAGGTTTAAAATGTTCACCATTAACACTATTTTAAATGTGTTTTTTTTTCTGAAGGAAATACAATCATGTGTCGGATAACGACATTTCAGTCAATGAGAGAGAGCACATACAATGGTGGTCCCACAGGATTACACTGGAGGTGAAAAAGTTTTATCACGTAATGACATCGTAGCTGTTGTGACATTATAGCTGTTGTGATGCCATAGCTGTTGTAACATTGTAGTGCACGCATTACTCACATGTTTCTGGTGATGCTGATGTAAACAAACTCACTGCACTGCATATGAAAGAACAGTGTACTACACATATACTGTACCTTTCCTATGTTTAGATACACAGGTAGTTACCATTGTGTTATAATTTCTTAGAGTATTCAGTACAGAATGCTGCTGTACAGGCTTATAGTAAAGAAACAATAAGCTATACCATTTAGCCTAGGGGTGTGGTAGGATGACCTTTTGGGTTCATAAAAGTGCATGTTATGACGTTTGCACAATGAGGAAATAACCTAAGGATGCATTTCTCAAAATGGATCCCAGTTGATAAGAGATGTATGACTGTATGCAATAAAATGAAATTGCATGCTTATGAAACATAAAGATGTATCTAAAATTATCATCTCATCATCTATGAAATCAAGAGAATTAACTGCTAAGTTTTCTAATTACAAATGTGATGGGTACAACATTAAATAAAAACCATAAAAGTTAACTAACATACAAACAATAGCCAATTAGAAACAACTTGTGATTTTTTAAAGTAACAAAAATAAAATGCCTAAGAATGAAGCTACAATTGTGTAAAAAAAAATCTATATAGAGAGAACTTTAAGAAACTTCTGAGGATAGGAGAAGAACTGTGTTCAACATTAAATAAAAACCATAAAAGTTAACTAACATACAAACAATAGCCAATTAGAAACAACTTGTGATTTTTTAAAGTAACAAAAATAAAATGCCTAAGAATGAAGCTACAATTGTGTAAAAAAAAATCTATATAGAGAGAACTTTAAGAAACTTCTGAGGATATGGAGCAGAACTCTCACATAATGTTTACAAAAGTGTAAATTGGCAGGATCACTTTGGGGAGCTCCGCGTAGTATCTAGGAATCTGTACTCTTTATAACAGGACACAGTTAGAAGCTGGGTTTATTAACCAAGACTTTGACTGGACTGTCATGGTTGAGAGAAACACTCCTAGACTCTGGATGTTACCAGAAAGCTTTAACGAATTAAGGTTGATTTGGGAATCCGATAAAAGCCCCTTTTATAAACAGCCTGGATCCTTGCTTATTTACATGGTTCATGGCAGTTTTTTCAGCTAAGGACTTAAGGTTGATCTCCTGGGAGATGACAAAGAAAGAACA